TGATTATGTTGATCAAGTCCGTATCTGTTCAAAGTTGAAAGCTGTGCTCCAAAAGCAGGGACTTTGGTCAGAAATCTGTTTTATCTTGAGTGAGTATCTTTCCTCCTTGTAGAAAAATCTAACAAAATTATATATATATATATATATATATATATGTAAAATAGTTTTCTCTTCTGGTTAAAATCTTGACCTAAAGAAGCCAAGATGGCTGAACAAATAGCAGTACTCCTATATTATTTAATAATTTTTTAAAAAGCCAAGAAAAAAATACTATTCCTAAGAATATAACTCTTTAAGGGGCCAAAGTGAATAGTACAGTGGACTAGCATGAAGCTGACCCAGATTTGATCCCTGACACTCCTCTCTGGTCCCCTGAGCCCACCAGAAGTGATTCCTAAGAACAGAGTCAGGAGTAAGTCCCAAGCCCCACTGGATATGGCCCCCCAAACAAAAATGTTACTCTTTATATCTGCACTTAATTTGCACTCATTTCCCAACAGATAAAAATCCATGAGGTAACCACTTATTATAAAGGTAGAAATATTTTTATCTTAATTCTATTTCACTAAAGACATCAGAATTATTAAGTATGAAATAGCAATAAAAACAGGAAAGAGGAAGAAAGATAAGTCTAAGAAATTATTAGATGACCCTTTAAATCAAGTTCTTGCCTGGTAGCACATAAAGAATTCCTTTCAATTTCCCTTTGTATGGTGACTTTTCAGTTTTTGCCTGACCCTGAGGGGACACAAAAGGGCATTAATGAACAGATTAATGGGGATATCTGGGACACACAGGCCAGACTCACAATTGATGTGTCTGTCCTGTATGTCCTGGACTCTAATCTGACATGACTCTGAAACCATTTATCTATAAGGATTACCATAAGAAGTGAAAAGTTTATTTACTTTTCACATGAAAGTTGATGGCTTAAATATGAATACAAAATAGCGTATTGGATATGCCAAAAACAGTAACAAGTCTCACAACGGAGACGTTACTGGTGCCTGCTAGAGCAAATCGATGAACAACGGGACCACAGTGCTACATACTGGGAACAGTATATATGTTTATATGTATATATATATATACTGTTCCCAGTATGTATATGTATATATATATATAAACACACATATATAAACAGTATATATATGTACTGCTTCCAAAATATTTTCATAGAGCCCTCCCGTTGATCGTCGATTTGCTCGAGCGGGCCCAGTAACGTCTCCATTGGAGACTTTGTTGTTACTGTGTCTGGCATATCGAATACTCTCGGTAGCTTGCCGGGCTCTCTGAGAGGGGCGGAGGAATCGAACTCGGGCCGGCCATGTTGGCCGCGTGTAAGGCGAACGCCCTACCCGCTGTGCTATCGCTCCAGCCCTAAATATAAAAATATTAAATATAAACTAAGTTTCAACCATAAGTATGAATCTATTCTTCATTTTGGATAATGTACCCATTTCTTTCATTCATTTTAGCAAACCCTCGCTCTTTACAGCATTTGTGCCGTCTAAGGATCCGGAAGTGTATGGGCCGTTTACACTTGCGCTGCCCTGTCTTCATGTCATTTCTCCCACTGCCCAATCGTCTAAAAGCATATATCCTTTACAAAGAACATGACCTTTATGGACAAGGAATATCCACAGGAACTTGGTAACAAAACTTACAGATGAAAGGTAATGATTCCATAGCTATAATTCTTAAAATCTAACTTATATGATTCATATTTTATTCTCATTCCGTAGCTAAAATCTCAAGAGTCTACCTACTTCAAAAAGCTGCTCTTGGGTCAGAGACAGTACAGGAATAAAAGTGCTTGCCTTACATTCAGCTGTCCTGGGTTCAAAACTTGGCACTGCTTACGGTTCTCGAAGCACCATCAAGGAGTAATCCTAGGCATTCAGAGCCAGGAGTAAGCCCTTAGCTCAAAACAAACAAACAAACAAACAAACAAAAAAAAGAGGCCCTCTTTCAGTATAAAAAGCTGGCATTCTGGAAAGTTTAAAAAACTAATCGCAAGCAAAAATGTCAATTACTGAAATACAATAGTTTAATTTTGTAATGATGTTACATTAGGTATATGAAATATATTTCTACTCATAATAGTAGATGCCCTCTGAAAACTCAAAATCACTCAACAGCAGTTTTATAGAAAAGAGAAAAATATCAGATACTGCACTGAATAAAATACTGACCCTAGTATATATCTAAAAACTGACTCTTCATATGAACAAGAATTTTCACTTGTAATTTCATCATTAACAGGAAAAATGTATTCCTTTTTCCCACAAAACCATCTTGAAGGGTTACCATTTACTGATCAATGTGATCACTGGAAAGAGTGATGGCTTATGATCTGTGTACTGAATGTAGCCCAGTACTGGACACATAGGAGGGGCTCACTCATAGAGTCAGTTTTGCTAGTTCAAACTTTTATTTTTTTATATTCTGTGCTATATCTTAGTACAAGTTTTGATATGTGGAAAGTGCATAAAGAAACAGAAGATACTTGCTCAGTCACAATTTGTAGTATTTAAATGGTAGGGATATATATGAAAGAGGTAGAATGATGTCCAGTTTCACCACAGATCAGGTCAGCTATAGTCTTGATGTTTATGTTTGGTCCTAGTACATTTCTTAAAGCATAATATAGTATATAACTGGGGGAATGAGGTTCAGATGTCTGATAGAGGGATTCAAGACCACAGAATGCATTTGGGTAAGCACAAACAAAATGATGTTTTACATAAAATTATAAAATTGCTATGAAGAAATAAAATTGTATTGTCTGAGAGTGAGTGCTAGGGTATGTGAATGTCAGTATTGGAATATATTTCAGATATATATGCACTTTGTAGGTTTTATAACTCTGAAATTAATTTCATCTACTCTCCAGACCTTCCAAAAAGCATACGTTTTTATAAAATGCCAAATTTACAACAGAAACTCCAGTAGAAAATAAAAACTTGAGTCAGTGTTTTAGTAAACTACAAAGAATCACGGTTACAGTCCTCCCGTTGTTCATCAATTTGCTCGAGCAGGCCCAGTAATGTCTGCATCATGAGACTTGTTGTTACTGTGTTTGGCATATCGAATACGTCACGGGGAGCTTGCCAGGCTCTGCCGTGCGGGCAAGATACTCTCAGTAGCTTGCCGGGCTCTCCGAGGGGCGGAGGAATCGAACCCGGCTCAGCCGGGCTGGCTGCACTCAAGGGAAATGCCCTACCGCGGTGCTATCGCTCCAGCCCTACAAAGAATTTATGGGATGAATGTATTAATTAGTGTTAAAACTACAGATACTAATTACTCAAACTGGTGTACACAATAACCTGCTCCTTTAAACCATGGACATTTCATTGAATAAGTAATTATTGATGTTTCTTTTTTAAAAATAAAAACCCTACTCGATGAATTATTATAACTTTCCAATAAATCACACTCTTTCCCCTCCATTTTAGCTGTTAAGCAATTGCAGTAGGCCTCAGAGTATATTTACAGCATCATTAAGGTTAAGAAGGCTAACTTGTTTTACAAGCATCCACTGAAATTATTTGGAAAAATAAGATTCAGAAAATATTTCATACAAAAGACTATATGAAAAATGGACTTTATTATACATTAAAAATCTAACAGCATGTATCCTTAAGACTTGTCAGTGAAAACTTATTTTGACAAAATGAAAAAATAAGTTCTCCACTTCACAAGTATACTATCACATAAAGTTGATTTTTCAAATTCTCTCTCTCTCTTATTTTTTTTGTTGCAGTGCCAGGGATTAAACTCAGTGCCTCATACAGAACAGTCAAGCACTTTTACAAAGTCAAAGTTATTTCCCGACCCCCTCAAATCCAATTTTAAAGGGAAAGTATCATTAATTATATACCATACAATTAATATTTTTAGTGAAGTAAGAATTAACCAATTAACAACTTACATTACAAAATCACCAAATATACAAAACAGTTTTACACATTAGTTATAACTTAATTCTCCATTCTCATATTAACCAAAGTACATTACATGAGTACATAGCCACAAGAGATTTGGTTAGAAAGTATATATTTCCAGTTTCAAATATTTATATTAACATTAATGTGAAACAATATCTCACAGAAGAGTAATTCAAACTTAATTAAAAATAAAATGGAAGGCTTGTTTGCTATAATCAATAGCACTGTCGCACTGTCCTCCCGTTGTTCACTGATTTGTTAAGCGGGCCCAGTAATGTCTCCATTGTGAGACTTGTTGTTACTGTGTTTGGCATATCGAATACGTCATGGGTAGCTTGCCAGGCTTTGCCGTGTGGGCAAGAAACTCTCGCTAGCTTGCCAGGCTCTCTGAGAGGGGTGGAGGAATTGAACCTGGCTCGGCCAGGCCAGCCGTGTACAAGGCAAACGCCGTACCGCTGTGCTATTGCTCCAGCCCCTAAAATCAATATGTTTGAATATTTAGAGTTTACTGCTAGTGAGTTGTTAATGTTATTAGTTTCATCTTATTCAGGTGGCAGATGATTTTACGTATTTTTTTTAGGGTCTGTCAGCATTTATAAGATTAAAATCTTAAATACTTAAGTGACCTTATTATAGATTATTGATAATCCTTCAATTGTGGAGCCTGAGAATTCTTTAAAAATTAAATACAAAGTAATTCTTAAGACATGGCAAAAAAAAAAAAAGACATTGGCTTGGTGAGTGAAAAATTTTAGTACCTTGTAATCAAGTTTTTTAAATATTTTGAGGGAGACTAGAATAGTGTCCTATTTTCTGACTTCATTACAGAAATACTATTCCTAAAGGTAGTGGAATACACAGCAGAATTAGGGAGACTCTTTATTTTTCCCTTTTACATAGTTTTGTTAATATCCAAAAATTATCCAAAAAATGTTTGAATATAAGTAATATCCCAAAATCTAATTCAGTCACCAAAAGCATCCAAGAGCTAAAAGGGATTTCAAAGGATAACAAAGATGAATTTTAACATATATAAACCCACAGGAAGCCTTTTGAAACAAAATGAGTTTATTAAAGTTGATAGCTACAATAATGGAATATTTAATATAGTTAAAGAACAATGAAAAAGAGGTTGAATCATCTGAAATTGTCAAACCCTTACATGGCTTATATTTGGTGTTGAAATGCTTTGGTTTACTATGGACATTAATGTATTCTTGTGGAAATTGCTATCCAAACATGACTTAAACTACAAGTCAGTCTAGCATCCCTAAGTCTGCAAATACCCTTAAAGTATGTAGATGATATGTTGACTTGGAGTACTAACCAAGGGCAATAACTTCACCACCAGTGTGCAAAGTACCAACCTAGTAAAGATATCTTCCTTCTAATTTGATCATTTTCACCTGAACTGAGGCGACAATTAAATAGCTAGTATAAACAAAAGACTTAATGAAATGGAAAGCTTACTAATTCTTCAAAAGATCTTAAGAGCAGGATTCACTATAACTAATAAAGGAGACCACTAGAGAAATTTAAACTTCTACAAAAATTAATAAACGGTCGTGGAAGCAATCCCTTTTTAATAAACACAAAACACACTTTTTAATTATATGTTTTGGTAACATAAGGCTTCAAAATAATGATCACCAAATAATCATTATGTTCCCATTTGGCACATGGGAAAGAAATATCATGATCCTATATAAAATTAACTATCCCTTTCCTGCAGAAAACAGAGTATGTAACAGTAGGAAACAGCCACACTATGTTGTGAGAACTAAAACAGATGTCATTTCTAATTTGGAAACTAAGAATAAACAATATTTTTTTATAAAGTTTCCCTTGTAAAATTAGTTTTTAATGGCTAATCTCTTGAAAAATTTGAGTATATGACTATGTAAAATATTCTGTTCAATATATTTAAGGTGTCTATATATACTTTTACATGTGAACACAGGAACATAATTTCTATCAGCAACGGTGAAAATCTGAGGAAAGGAAGAAATCCAAGTTTTGACACAGGAGTAGGCAGTAGAGAATTATCATTTTAACCTCGGCGCCAGGTTAAATCCTTTCTTAGCCAACTCTCCTCTGTCATGCATACTATTTCTTTTCAAACTTTAATGAAGTTAGACCTTTTGCTCACGTGAAGAAAACAGTATTTACAAATGGTTAGTGAAAACTATTCTATTCTTATATATTAGTTATTTGTCTTCATGGGTATAAAGTGGTAATCAGTATTTTATCAAAACATGGGATTATGAAAATACCAGGAATTATCAGTCTGAAATTTAGTAAGATTATTTTTTAAAACTAAACTGGTAATTTTTACTTTAATAACTGTTACTGAACTTCTTTTGAAATGCCACTTGATTTCAATAAAAATTATTTCACACAATACGGAAAATACACATATTATCCTGTAACAGTATCTTTACGTATTAAATCCTAATCTAAAATGTTTCTGAAAGCAAAAAAATCCCTTATAATAAATTCCAAAATCTTATATTAACCACTACTGCTCTGCAGCAATAATTCAAGTCCCAACCTGAGAACTAAGAATGTGATAACAAAATGCCAAGGGCTATATCAATCTTCAGCAGACACTTAAGCTTCTTTCCCACTGGCACCAAGTACATCAGAGAAATATGAACAATTCATGACAATGCCCGAAGTCTACAGTACCACCTAAACAATCTGACCTCAGTTTAAAAGCTATCATTATTTTATAAAAGTTCTATTGCACATTTAATATTGTTAAAATATTTTCAGCTTTAAGGAATTCTCTGAATAAAGGGTTTGAAACCTCTTCAGTCAAAAGTTTCCACTTTTCTAGCAAAAGAGTCCAAAATGAGAGAGAGACTATCCATGTATATCTAAAGTGGAAGAGTAAGTGATTTCTCATTGGTTACAACCAATTATGATGTAAGGTAAGTTCATAATTTGAAGGGGGAAAAAAAAGGAAAAGTATAATTCCTTAGCCATCTAAGTCAGGGAGATAAACTTTTAGACACATGGAATTTGATGTTGCTGGAGTATATTACTTTCAAGGAAACAATAATGCAAAGTTAAGTCATCAAGGTAAATCTTACTTTAAAAGGAAACAAGCAAATATAAACTTGACTCTCCTTGATATTTCAACGTGGTTGTTACCTTGTGCCATTTCATCACAGAAACTGTCAATAAATCCCAAGGGGGGGAAATAACAAAAAATGTATATTTATGCTTCTGACTCTCTCTTCTTTCCTTCTTCTCCCAAATCACTCTCTTCTGACTGGCTACTGCTAAGGACAACACACTGCCCCTCATTACTGCCCTGGTTCGGTCTACTGGAAGCAGCTATCAGCCGACTCTGTTCTTCTAAATCCTAGTGGAAAGAGAAAAGAACTAAGTTAATTGTTTGTAGTCAAAGAGAAAAGTAAACAGTTAAAATACATACCTGAGAGCCTTTCTATCCATATGAATCTATGTATAATGCTGGAAACTTACCAAAAAGAAAGGTTGTACACCAACTAATGCCAACATTCAAGTGAAATACCGCACCATTCTAGAGATTCTATGTAAGTCAACACTCCCTCTTTTATCTGTTTTTATAGTCAGGTTCAGTCATTCTTATCTCTCAGTACACACTAACGGGTTCACAATGGATCACTCACTACCCATCATCTCCCTTCCCCTTTTACCCCTCTTCTTCATTTCTCTATAATTTACCTTGCTAAGTCATTATCAATTCTTTCAATATAACCAACATTTCCAACGTGGGGTACTGGAACCCTAATGCATTAAGGACAACTTAGGGGCACTTTCTGTTATTTTAAAGAAGATGGGAGGGACAAATGAGTAATGTTTTTCCTCCAAAAAAAGGAGACAATAAGCTAAATAAGCTTGGGAACCTCAGTCTAATTTTATTATGCAATTAACTTCAGTGTCTCTGAATTGCCACTCGTCTCTCCTGTATCCACACATCCAACCAACTGCCAACTGATGTATTCCACAGTTATCTCCTATTTTTCACTGCTACTACCAACCACTACTGGCTCTTACAATCTCATAAATCTAATACCTTTCCCAAATTGTTGAGGAAGCCATCCTCACTATTATACATGATTTCCTCCAAAGATGGACCTTGACAAAGTGTCTAGTCCTATTAACTATTTGCAAATAGTTAATGCAAAAGTTCTAAAATAACTGATAGAATGCAAAGCCTTTTCACCCCTGGAACAAAAACCCCATTTTATTATGTGGTAACAACATATGTCTGTAAATTGATTTGATTTGTGGGAATATTTGTGAATAAACCTCTGAAAGCATAAAAAAATCATTCTTGTTGAATGGAAGATTTGACATTCCCAGTCACTGTCACTGTCCTCCCGTTGTTCATCAATTTGCTCAAGTGAGCCCAGTAATGTCACCATTGTGACAATTGTTACTGTGTTTGGCATATCGAATACATCACGGGTAGCCTGCCAGGCTTTGCCAAGTGGGGCAGATACTCTTGGTAGCTTGCCAGGCTCTCCGAGAGGGGTGGAGAAATCGAACTCAGGTCGGTCACGTTGGCTGCTTGGAAGGCAAAAGCCCTACCTGCTGTGCTATCACTCCAGCCCGACATTCCCAGTGAGATTAAATATTTTAAAATTTACATATGTATTTCTGGAGGCAATTAGCCCCTTAAAAGAGATAATCTCCAATAGAATAGAGAAATATGAAGGCTGTGGTACATTTTTTAAACATACTACATGTCAACATAACTAAAGTGCAAATACAGTATCAGAAGACAAATGTCTTTTTCTGCTATTCTAAAAATCACCTGACTACAAAATAGCTGTGTAAGCAGGAACAAATCTGGATTTGGAATTTCAAATCCGAAAATCAAAGTGTCAAATTGAGGAAACGTTCCATAAACTTCACACCGAGAGCCGATTCAGACATTAGAAATACATACCTTTTCAATTTGTTTTTGTTTACTGAGCTCTTTCTCTTGCTTCTCTTTTTCCCTCATTCTTTCTTTGTGTTTTTCTTCTGCCCTACGTGTCTGAAGAGAATACAACAGTGAATTAAATATCAAAAAAAATTTTAGACTTTTTAATTAATGCCTTTGTAACCTTTTAAAATTAATCACACACAGAAAACACAAAACACACACATCAAAAACATACATGCTATGTTCATCATTTGTCCAAATTTTAAAGATTGTCAACAGCAGCATCAACCACTAACCTTTCTTAGCAAAATTACTTTCTAATATTATGTAAACATGTATTAGTTTAGTTTACATTCTTGAATAATTACTTATCCTGGAGTCTTACCAGTTCTGCATGCAGAGCTATCTGTTTTGCCAGTCCAACAGAATCACAAAGCTAAAAGAAAATGAAGTAGTAAAGTTCAGAAAGTTCTCAGATGTAAGTAATAATTTCAAATACCCAAATAGCAAATTTTTGATGTAAGATTTTCTTTGGTTTTGGGGTCACACCGGGCAATACTTAGGAGTTACTCCTGACTCTCCCACTCAGGAATTACTCCTGGGGGTGTTTAAGGGACCATATGGGATGCCTGGGATTGAACCCAAACAGGCCGCATGCAAGGCAAACATCCTGCTTGCTATATTATTTCTCCAGTCCCTGATGTAACAAGTTTTGTAACTCTTTTTTTTTTTTTTTTTTTTTTAGTGAAACACCATGAGGTACAGTTATAGACTTAAGAATTTTTGTGCTTGGGTTTCAGTTATACTGAAGTATAACAAGTACCCATCCCTCCACCAGCGCCCATCCACCACCACCACAGGTCCCAGCATCCCTCCCACCCCCCATCCCCCCTATCCCACCCTGCCTCTGTGGCAGGACATTCCCCCTTGTTCTCTCTCTCTCCTTTTGGGTCCTGTGGTTTGCAAGAGAGGCACTGAGTGGCAATCATGTTTGGTCTATAGTCTACTTTCAGCATGCTTCTCCCACCCTGGGAGGATCCTCCCAACACCCTTTATTTGGTGCTCTCTTCTCTATCTGAGCTTCCTTCTCCTCTAGCACATGTGGCTGGCCTCCAAGTCATGGAGCAAAATTCCTGGTACGAATCTCGGTCACTCCTGGGTGTTAGTCTCCCATTTTGTGGCTTTATGTTCCCCAGATGAATGCAATCTTTTGTAACTCTTTTATAAAACACTGCTTCACACAAAAGCTGACTTAAATTTCAACTCCCCAAATCAAGCCTTTGAGTATTTTCTCCAGGGTCTGTGAGTTTCCATTGATGACTCTTTCTTCTTCATGTACCACACTTCCTGTTATCACAGATTCATCACTCATCAGGAAGGTCTGCAAAGAATGAACTAAGCAGCAACTGCTGCTGCTTAAACTGAGTGTCTACAAATGACTGATCAAGGGAATATATTCCATTCCCAGGATAAATTAATGAGACTAGAAGATTTCACTAGTACTAGCTTATCAACGGCCAGGAAGCCTGAGTAGATACCACTAGCTATGAATGGCCAGAAAGACAAACACCTGCAGTCAGAAGGCCCAACCCATCAATCCAGCTTTCGATAGAGTAACAGGTATTGGTCAAGAAACTCATTTGGACAGGGCAACATTGGGGATTTTTTTCCCAAAAATAATCTTAGTAAGAACTTTGATTAGGATTTGTATTTTATAACAGAAATACAAACTTTGGAAAGTGCTGTACCTTTTCTCCTTCATTGTTTGACTCAAATATATAGCAGACAGATGACAAATTACTTTCACTTCTTCCTCCCAATGTACGAAGAACAAATCCAAAAAGCCTCTTATTTTCTTGGTGTGTAGCAAAGAGCACTACACTGAGGATTGGAAACTGCCATAGAAAACATCAGAAGCAAACATGAAATTTTTCTAGTCATTACAAATCTCCTATAAATAATAAACTCATGTGTTGTTATATAAGGTGCCATAAAGAAAACATGATAACCAATTTCATAACAGGATGGTAATCCAAGAACAAATACTGTCATATTTGGTTTGGGTTGCTAGGCAAGAATCATGTTGTTAAATACTGATTTTATTGTATTACCCCTTAACTCATTTTACAAATTATAATTCAATAACAGAAGTAGATTCTAATTGAGGAGACTATGTCATACACTAAGGAAACTTAATAGTATGACATATGCTCCTTAACTAAGGAATAAAGAAATATCTCATGTCAGGTTGCACTGACTCTGTATGTTACATGGAATATTCAATTATTGCTTCTTTTTTGGCGAGACAGTCATAGATTTAATTCCAACAGCCTAAGTACCAATCATAATTTATAAATCATATATGAATACACAGAATTATGATTACAAAGATTAAAATGTGTATGCATAAAGAAACTGAAAATAAGATATTAAGGAACTGGGAAGATAGCTCAAATGACTGAAGCACATGTGCTCTGTTGGTGGGAGTCCCAGATTTGTCCTGGAACTGCATCATCCCTGAGCACTACAGGGAAAACCCCTCACAAGCATCAAGTTGGGAGTAGTCTCCAGCACTGCCAGATGTGGCGCCCAAACAAACAACAGAAACAATAACAACAACAAATAATAACAATAGTAGTAGACATATGGAACTCACCGTGAGCCTCGTAACTTGTGTCTGCGGATCAATTAACCTATAGTAATGGTAAAAAAATTTGAAAGCAAATTTTAATTATGTTGGAATTATGTAAACAAATTTTTCTTCAGTTTTTCTGAGGTTTGTACTTACTTTAAGTATTCACAAGTGACTAATAAATGTGATTCTGTCATACGGAAGATGTTATGAATGGCCCGGGCAGCTAAGATTTGGCGCATTGTTTCATAAACAACATCTGGATTGTCATCTGATTTTACCTCCATAGAACCAAGGAATCGGACAATAAATAACTGATGATAAATAGAACCTACAACAGAACAAGATATATTACATATTTTAAATCTCTCATTTATTTTTATGCTGGCTATTTTTTGAGGTAATATTGATTTGTAAGATTGAAAATATATTAAGAATTCAATTTAATTTCCAAAATATGTTATCACACCACATCCACCTCCCAAGTACCAATATTACTCACAAGGATCCACTGAAACCCAGCCCCTTTCTGTTTTGCCCTGTATTCATGTTTTACCTTTTTTTAATTTTACTGTTTTTTGTTGTTATCGAGGTAATATACTACAATAGTATTAATGTTTTTAGTATACAACGTTGAACATATGTGGTGCTGAGGATAGAACTGGGGCTACCAGCATGTAGGCAAGTATCTTAATTCCTGTACTATCTCTTAGGTCCTCCACCACATTTCTTAAAGAATTAGATACCTAGGACTGGAGAGATAGTACAGTAAGTATAGAGCTTGCCTTGCAGGTGGCCAACCCAGGTTTTGTTTCTTGCATCCCATAGTCTCCTGAGCCAGCCAGGAGTAATCCTTGAGTACAGAGCCAGGAGGAAGTTCTGATACCACAGGTGTGGCCCACAACAAACAAAAGAAGAAGAAAGAAGCAGAGGTAGGAAGAGGAAGGAAGGAAGAGGAAGGAAGAGAGGATGGATGAAAGAGGGAGGAAAGAGGGAGGAAGGGGAAGGAAGAGGAAGAGGAAGGGGGGGAAGGAGGAGGAAGAAAGGGGGAGAAAGGGAAAGGAAGGGGAAGAGGAAGAAGCAAACAAGCAAGCAAAAAGAAGGAAGGATGGAAAGAAGGAAGGAAGGAAGGAAAGAAGGAAGGAAGGAGGGAAGGAAGGAAGGAAGGAATCTGGTGTCTTCCTTTCAGATTTTCCAGTAAAAGAGTGAAACTAACCAAAATATTTAAAAATAAGTTCTGACTATAGTGTTCATTATAGGAAAATCAAGGTCACATATTCAAACAGTCAAAGGTTTGCTTTAACAACTTGTAGTTCTGAGTAAAGCGAATTCCTTGTATTAAAACAGGTTTTCTGTAAGTTTAAAATTATATCAAAATAAGTAGCAGATGGAAAAAATGTAAATTAAACTGAATAGTTGATGGAAACATCAACTATGAGGAAAAGCTTAAAGAATATTTTTTTGCATAGTGAATTTGTCTATGAAGTCAAAAGTATGATATTCTATAATTCTATGAGCATAGGATAAAATTGTTAATGTGCTATGAGAAAAAAATTATGAGATAAACATTAAAATAGCATACACAGGATAACTAATATAAACAAATTCTCCAGATTATTATGAAAATTTCTATAATAAAAAAATAGATCAGCCTGGAGAGATGGTACAGTGGGCAAGGCCTTGCACATGGTAGATCAGTTTGGTGCCCAACACCACATATGGCCCCGTAAGCACTGCCAGAAATGATCCTGAGCACAGAGCCAGGAATAAGCCATGAGCACCACTAGATGTGATCCAAAATCCAAAAAGGAGCAGAAAAAAGGAAAAAAAGAGCAGTACTATTCTTAAAAATACTATACATCTGTTTTACCTTCAATTTCTTCTTTTACACTTTTTTCATATTCTCCAAATGGATTCGTACGCCTGAAAAATATTTTTGAAATCATCAACTAATGGTCAGTTATCACTGAACCACATGAAAAAAATCTCATTGAGGAATTAAAAAATTAGGTACAACAAAACATTCTCATACATTAAATAAAAAACAAAAAATTATTACTGAAGACCAATTTATTATACACACACACACACACACACACACACACACACACACACACCCCACCACCACCACCACCTCCACCTCATAATCACAATTTAAAAGTTCCTGATTTCAAAAGAAATAGATGATTTGGCTTTTTTGCTTTTTGGGTCACACCCGGCAATGCACAGGGGTTTCTCCTGGCTCTGCACTCAGGAATTACTCCTGGCGGTCTTCAGGGGACCATATGGGATGCGGGCAATTGAACGTGGGTTGGCTTCGTGCAAGGCAAATGCCCTATCCGCTATGCTATCGCCCCAGCCCCAGATGATTTGGTTTTATCTTTAGCTACTTCAGAAAAAGGCCAGGGATTTTTGAGCCTGTGCTTCTCAAGGCTTATGGCACAAAGCAAGATGAAAGCTAACCAGAGAGATGGAAGCAACTTTCCTTCTTAGCGTGCCTGGGTTCTGACAAACCATGAGGCAAGGAAAACACAATTCCAAGTGGTTTTTGTCAGCAGAGACCTAAAAGAGCTCTAAAATAACACTGATATTAGGATACTGTGAAATTCATCTCTTACTACATATCTGACCTGTTAGAGCAAATGTTAAATATATTTCTGTGATCAGGTGTAAATTTTTTTCTTGGACACAATCATATACATCCGAATTAATGCCTTATTATTTTATTAGATGTCCAGCCTATCTAAATCATTTGCTTTATGTCATGTTTCTCTCATTCACAAAAATTTTCTTTGATTTGACAAGAATAATTCTTTTACATAAATAAAAGATGATCCATTGAAATCATAACAGTAGAAAAATTGTTTTAGTACATCTTCCCAGATATTTATTCTGATATAAGATCATACTTTCTAGAAATTTGTATAATATGAATTACTTTCAAGAATTTACACACACATCACCACCACCACCACCCCCCAAAAAAAAGTCAGGGGCCAGAGAGAGAGTACAGAGGTTAAGGTGCTTGCCTTGCATTCAGTCAACTCCTGGTTTTGTTCCATCTCTCGTACCCGAGGGCCACTGGGGTCACTACTGAGCACAGAGATAGGAGTAGCTCCTGAGAATCACTGGCTGTAGTCCAATTCCCCCACCATGCCCAGTTTTTTTTTAAGACTGTCATGATGTAAATATGGTACTGTTCACCTTCTCTGGCAATTTTTAGTGCAAACTAAAATTTTTTTCTTCAATAAAAATATGGTATCTCAGACAGCTTGGGGTCAATGAAGTGGACAGGTTTAGCGTCTTACTGAGGACTATCAGAAGAACAAATTCCCTTTACTGAGGCAGGGGTATGGGCCAGAGAGGTGCTATTCCTGGCTATGTGCTCAGTAATCTGCTCACGGATCATATGCAGGAGCCAGGGATCAAAAATGAGGTTGATGCGAGGCAAGCAGTTTACTCTCTGTACTATCTTTCCTGTCCTTAGATCTACTAAGAAATTCAAGATTAAGTATTTTAAAAACTAAGTAAACGAGAGAGAGAGAGAGAGAGAGAGACAGAGAGAGAGAGATATTTTCCTCTATTAGATAATCTAGGTATAATATAGCTAAGGAAAACAGTATGTGAGAGACGAATATAAACTATAAAACTAAATCTTAAAACTGGGGCTGAAGAGAGAGTATAGCAGATAAGGTGCTTCCTTCATGCAGCCAACCTGAGTTCTATTCCTAGCATCCCATATGGTCCCCCGAGCACCACCTGGAGTGATCCCAAGTGCAGAGCCAGAAGCAACCCCTGAGCATCACTAGGTATGGTTCAAAACCGAAATAATAAATAAATAAATACTAAAACTTACAGACCAGAACACATTGTCCCTATGATGCCATTACCAACCTTCCTCCCTGGCCAGACGCTTTTGCCTGACCAGGCTGATCTTCACACACAGGAGAAATGATATCAAACTGTATTGGGGTGTCCGGGGCAACAAGAGCATCTAGAGAGAGGGCTGCCAAACTTGTAGATTCAGATCCTAAGGATCCTGAACTGCTTGTTCGAGCTGTAGGTGGCCGAGATTGTCTGAAAACAGAAATACACAAGTTTTGCATTTTGTTTTTTGTCTTTTGGAAATTAATCACAAACTGCGAGAAAAGTAAACAATTTTACATAAGAAACGTAGAACAAATTTCAATAAACACAGTCCTACAAGCAACAGCTACAAGAGATCTCTCTTTTGCTCCAATTATTAATTAAAAACCATAATTCACCTCAGCCTACAAGTTGGATGTGTGGCATCAATATTTAGCATTTCTGCTGGTTAAAAATTCAATCTGAAAATTCATTTTCAATGTTGCTCAGGTTACTACTCTGTACTTATGTTACGTATCACTGCTAAAATTGAAATATTCCCCTATACTTTTATTAACCTGAATCACTGCCCTGCCACTGCCCTCCCATTGTTCATCGATTTTGCTCGAGTGGGCCCAGTAACGTCTCCATTGGAGACTTTGTTGTTACTGTGTTTGGCATATCGAATACGTCACAGGGAGCTTGCCAGGCTCTGCCGTGCGGGCGAAATACTCTCGGTAGCTAGCCGGGCTCTCCAAGAGGGGCGGAGGAATTGAACTCGCGTCGGCCATGTCGGCTGCATGCAAGGCAAAGGCCCTACTCCTTACCCTGCAGTCTAGTAACTCACCCTGCTGGCCGCAGGCTCTCATGCCTCTGCTGGAAAGATGGGGAAGGAGTGACAGCTTCCAATGCTGACTGATTTACTCGTGCAGCAATTTCCTATTTTAAAAAAGAGCTGGTATTAGTAAAGCAAGAAACTTAAACTGTTGAATGTAACTCTCTAAATTGACAACATACTCTTGAGTAACACTTAAATTGCAATTGAAATTAGAACTATTAAAATTTTTCTACATTCTCTTGGCTTAATATTAAAATACACAATTGACTTTATACTACTGTAACAGATTCCTATTTACTTCTAGATCTTGAGGGAAATATTTTTCAAACTAACATATATAACAAGAAATATATATATATATATACTTTATTTTTAAATTAGTGAAACACCATGAGGTACAGTTGTACACTTACAAACTTTTGTGCTTGGGTTTCAGTTATACAGAAATATTTATTCTTTAAATTTTCAAAGACTAGATTTTTTTAGTCTTAAAGTTAGTATTAGTATTGTTGATAACTGAAAGACTCAGTGAACAATAAAGTTTTGTCAATATTTGTTAAAGGAAGAAATTTAAAAGGAGTAAGATAATAACATATTTAAAACTACATTTCTGAAGTTTTTATGATTTTTCAGAGCATAGTTATGCTAGAAATGTCTACAAGCAGAACTGTCAAGACATTTTCTGATCAAAATTTGCAAGCGAAACAACCTTCCCATAAGATATATTTCTAAACTTGCTATTATTTAAAACATTAGCTAAATAAAATGGCATTTACATTAGAAAAAATAACCACAAAATATTTTTACATTTGTCTTATAGTTAGCAAAAACTTATGACATATTACAATCAGACCAAAATTTTTTTCCTCTCAATATAGATGAAACAATTCTAGAAATTCCAGAAAATATTTATTAAAATATACATAATCTAATAATTGATAGGAAAGTACTCAGAAAATTAATCCTAAGCTATTCAAATCCAAACACTGAATATATATATATATAATAATACAAACAGTATCCTGTTTAGTACGTCATCTAATTTTTTTTTTTTTTGGCTTTTCGGGTCACACCTGGCGATGCTCAGGGGTTACTCCTGGTTCTGCACTCAGGAATTACCCCGGCGGTGCTCAGGGGACCATATGGGATGCTGGGAATCAAACCCGGGTTGGCAGCATACAAGGCAAATACCCTACCTGCTGTGCTATTGCTCCAGCCCCCATTTTCAATTTTTGTTATTCCCAAGTAACTTAATAGAAAGGAAAAGCTAGACTGGCAGATCAAGCAACAAAAATCTTCTCTACTGACAGCACTAGATTTTCTTTGATTGAACTCATAAATTTTATTACTAACAAAATAACAGAGATTACTACTATTTTTGAAGGTCTAATATTTTGTTTATCTGGTTGAAATTTTTTTCTGGGTATCTAAACCAAGTGTTTTGGCTCACACTTCAAAGTCATTCTGATTAAAAAAAGAATTCCTTACCAAATGGTTCTTCATTTAAGCTTAAAATCTACAAGACTCCCTTTACCCAATTCAGCTCCTCATCCTGTACATTCATCAGTTCCTTCATCCTTTATATAGACTTGCTGCCAACTTGTCTAGACAATTTCTTTTTACCTGTCCCTGTGATTCACTATTTCTTCTTTCTTCATTCATTTACCACCCAGTTCAGCAGTTCAGTTCACATATAAACTATATTAATGGCCTTGTACACTATCACAGAAACTTGGTTCTAATCAATCATCATGTCAAGTTTAAAATCTGGAAGGCCAGGACTGAAGAGCATGCTTTGCATACGGGAGATTAGTGTGTAATCCTTGGCATTACAGTGGGCCTCCAGCATCAATGGACATGGCCTCCCAAAACAATAATAACCCCAACTTGGAAGGTGAACAGCTCCTTCCACCTCAACACACCCCACCTCTCCAATATTCCTGGGAGGCACCTGAAACCATAGCAGGGCTGAGCCCACCAAGATTGGCAGAAGTCAGACAGCTACTTTTCCCTATCTACTCTGCATTATGGGCCCACTTAATTCCTTTTGGAGTGCTTCATACGCCTAGGATCAGCCTGTATGCTTGGACTGCAACTATGGCTGCACCTAACTTGAAACCCTTGTCACTCAAAACATCAATGGCAAAACAGAGTTCAACCTGTCTGATATCAGACCTTCTGAATCATAACATACATACTAATGAGATACCAGCCAAAAGGTGATCTGCATCCACATTTTAGTTTTCCATTGTTCCCCAACAAGAACTTTCAACTCCAGCTACACTACCTTCCAAGTATCGTTTCTCTATTTCTGCTATGTGCAATGTCTTCTCTCTTCCACAAAACATGGATGAATCCTACCTTCTTAGGTTTCTACTTGTCTACAAAGTTTTCTTTAATAACCAAAATCTACTCTGATCTTAAAGTTCTCGAATTTTGGGAGGGCAAACTCAAAGGAAGGTGCTCAGGGGCAACTCCTGGGGCAGTGCTGGGGGTACCTTGCAGTGTAGGGGCTCCCACAGGGAAAGCACGTTCTTTAGCTCACTGAGTCATCTCCCTGGTCCTATTCTCAAATCTTTAGATTTTAGCTCATCACTTCAAGCTTCAATTATATATACTGTCTGATATGAAATGCTACATGAAATTTTATTTTTAGCTTCCTATACACAGGTTACTGGAAAGCAGAAGCTGTGGCTTATTTTTCTCCTATATTTTCCTTCTCCATGGTGTTCAGTGCAAGACAAAGTTGATGCCCTATAAGTGTTAGCTGGCTGATTTCAGTACCTTTTAAAGTAATTTATTACTCTAGGGAGGCCAAACAGTCATTATATACACCACTCATAAAAAATACCTGCTCCCAGACTACAGAAGTGGGGAAATAATGACTTAATATAAGTCATAAACCAAAGATATTCAATTCTGCCAGATTTAAATACAATTAAATAAAAACATTACCTCTGGATTTTCACTTAAATATATTTGTTTAGATATGTTGTTTATTGTACAGATCCACTGCAAGAAGAAAAATTTAAAAGATATAATTAACGTTTCTCATCTAAAAAAGAATGTTCAATATTTAATTGAAATGTAATTTTTATGGGAAATAGTAACAGAAAAGCTTTTCTAAAAACAAATAATGCCCTATATACAGGAAGACGAATGTTTATTTGGGGAAATATATCAAACTTTTAACAGATCAATTATTTTTAAGCGCCACATTTAAATTCTACAGGTAAAAATCAGTAACTATATTAAATTGCAATTTTACATGATATAGTAAATATAACAAAATATAATGAAATATATTTTGTTATATCCCCCTCAACTCCCACCAAACAAGGCAGTCTTAATTCAGGTATCATGAGTATTACTACAGCAGAAAATTATTAGCTGAACACATTTTTGGTGACTATATTTTACCATATTTCCCCTCTTTCCAGTTTATAAATAGTTAACAGAAAAACAGTCCTCCATATCTACTGCTTCACTCTTGAGGATCCCAGTACCTAATGAGCCTCACTAAAAATAGCATCGTTTGTGCAGAGAGCAAATACTTGTCTGTAAAGAGACCACTGTTTAAATACCTGGTCATTTCCATGAGCTGTAAATAAAGGTAGAATGCTACATAACTTCCAATCTTACTTTCTATCAATGATAAAATTACAGTATCAGAATATTCAAAATCAACTTACAATAGATTTTCCTTCAAGAACTTTTATCAAGAAGAGCCTTTGAGGCATCAGTTCTTAGTGAAAACTTACTTTCCATATTTGGTGAGTAAGGATTAAAAATGAAGCCAAAAATAAAAGGCTTGTGAGGAAGAAGACATTCCCAAATTTTTGTTTTTCTGTCACTTACTTCCCCAAGTGTGAATTACCTTCTGCTATGCCACATCTACTGCCACTATGACCTTAATGCAATAAACATTATCTCCCTGGGACCGTGAGAGAGGGGGTAAATTAAGCTGTCACCTCATGATACAAACATCTTGCCAGAAAGCAACAGTCACAAGATCACTTTTAAATCTGAGCAGAGAGAGAGAGAGACATGAACTCTGAGGTCTCTTCTTATACGTCAACAATAAAATTCTTTGAGAATGTTGCTTGAGAAAAGTCTTTCACATACACAAAAATTTAATTTAACTAGGATATTCTAGGGCTAGAGCAATAGCACAGTGGGTAGGGCGTTTGCCTTGCACACCGCCGACTCGGGTTCAATTCCTCTGTCCCTCTTGGAGACCCCAGCAAGCTACTGAGAGTATCCTGCCCACATGGCAGAGCCTGGCAAGCTCCCCGTGGCATATTCAATATGCCAAAAAAAAGTAACAAGTCTTGAAATGGAGACGTTACTGTTGCCCGCTCGAGCAAATCAATGAACAAAGGGAGGACAGTGCTACAGTTGCGGGATTTTCTAAATTTCTATAATAACTACATTAAGATGTGTTTTTCATTAAAAAATAGTTTTAAAACACTGCTGGAGAAATTAGTTAAAATTTTTACCTCTTCATGGTCTTTTTTACTCTCTGCCTGCAAAATTGAAGATCTGGGGAAAAAAAAGAGAGAACAGCACTGACTCAATGTTTTTAAACTATTTTCAACTTAATCGAAGAACTTTATTTTTTAAAGTCATCTTTAAACATAAAGACATCTTTATATCAATATTTTAACTGATTGCCTTGCACGTGCCCAACTGAGCTTCAGTTCCCATTAACCCACCTGGTCCCCCAAGTAGTATGCCAGAAGTGATCACTGAGTGCAGAAACCAGGAGTAAGCCTTAGCACCATCAGGTGTGGCCCCAAAACAAGAAACAAAAAACAAATTCCCAAGGCATCAGAATTCAAGAATTTTTCTGTATCTCTTTTTTTTGGTGCAGAGAAACTAAACCCAGGGCCTCATATATGCAAACCCTGTTATCTACCATTGAGCTATGATTTTAAGGACCCCTGATTCTGGCTATCAGTCAAAATGGACCGAAAAAGAAATGATTGGAGAGACAGCTCAGAGTGATGGAGCACAATGTGAGAGCCCCAGTTCAATCCCCAAGACACATGGCTTCTCAAGCACTGCCAGAAACTGAGCTCGGTGTAACCCCTCGTACCACAGGTATACAGCCTCTCCTACTACCAACCCACCCCCAAAGTTTAAAAAAAAAAAAAGCAGGTCAAAAGACAGCTGATAGCAAAGACATACTGCAACTAAGCCAATATATTTCACCTTCAGACACTTTCGTATACATTGTTTAAAATACAAATCAGTGATCCTAATAAAAACACCAATTTTATTCCTGTCATTTCTTCTTGAATAGGGCTAAACCAAGATGCTCAATAAAATAGTACTAACATAGGGATATCTGGTTTCTATAGAGATACCGTTTTAAGAATTAAATAAAAGAGCAATTTTTTAAAACTAATTTGACTCACACTAGGAATATATGGAAATCCTGTTAAACACTAGCACAAAATAGAAAATACGAAATTCTAAGTACTTAAACTAGTAACAGCAATTTGGTAATTATGATAAATGAATACAGAGACTCCAGGATAAAAGGAAAAATTGGAATAAATTAAATAATCATATTTATAAATGCTAGTGAACTATAAATCATCTTAACGTACATAAATATCAGGAGGAAATGACCTGATAGGGCCGTCAGAAGCTATTTCTGAACAATTTTTTTAAAAAATGAAGACAATTTAAACATCTGTCATTAAGGAACAATTTAATTATGATGTCATCCTTAAATAAGTTACAATATTCCACAATGAAAGGTTATTAATAAATGGATATAGATTCAAATTATATTGGTAGTATTTCTCAGTATTTTTAAAAACTTATTTAGAATAGAAACTGGAAGGCAACAGACCTAATAGTCCATTGTTAGCTTCTGCTTCATGAAATTACAGCTTTTTCATATTCCTTTATGTTTTTCTATGCTTTTCAAAATTCTGTTCTAAAAACTTTTATTGGGTTTTCATTGAATGCAAAGCTCAGAGTAGTTTAAAAATTGTATAAGAAAATTAATGAACTAAAGAATTTGATCAACATTTTATTTTAGGGCCCACAATTGTGGCACTTCATGCTTAGAGCTGGCTCTGCTCAGGGGACCAACCATATACTGTGCTGGGATCACCTGCAAGGCAAGCGCCTTAATCACTGTATTCTCTATGGCCACCTGACTAACATTTTATTTATTTTTTTTATTTAAAAAAATTTTTAATAGTGAGACATCATGAGATACAGTTGCAGACTTACACATTTTTGTGCTTGGGTTTCAGTTATACAATGATCAAGTACCCATCCCTCCACCAGTGCCCATTTTCCACCACCACGGGTCCCAGTATCCCTCCCACCCCCCATCCCCCCATCCCACCCTGCCTCTGTGGCAGGAATTCCCTTTTGTTCTCTCTCTCCTTTTGGGTGCTGTGGTTTGCAAAAGAGGCATTGAGTGGCAAGCATGTTCGGTCTATAGTCTACTTTCAGCATGCTTCTCCCATCCTGGGAGGATCCTCCCAACACCCTTTATTTGGTGCTCCCTTCTCCATCTGAGCCCCCTTTTCCCCTAGTATGTGTGGCTGGCCTCCAAGTCATGGAGTAAAATTCCTGGTACTAATCTCGGCCATTCTTGGGTGTTAGTTTCCTATTTTGTTACTTTATGTTCCCCAGATGAATGCAATCTTTCTATGTCTATCCCTTTCTTTCTGCTGACTAACATTTTAAATAACACTATTGTTAACATCTACTCCTAGTTACAATGGCATGTGTTTGATTTCTGTCCCTCACAGCAATTCACAAAATTAGAAATTCCAAACCCCTCCAATTCATTCTGCATGCAGAATAAAGTTCAGGGAGATCGTGTAACTTGTCTAAGACTATATACTAAGTAGTAGAACCAGAACTTGAACTCCATGACTCTGGGGCTGGAGCGATAGCGTAGCGGGTAGAGCCTTGCATGCAGCCAACCCGAACCCGGAATGATTCCTGAGTGCAGAGCCAGGAGTAACCCCTGTGCATCACTGGGTGTGACCCAAAAAGAAAAAAGAAAAAAAAAAGAACTCCATAACTCCAAGGTTGAGGCACTTTCCATTATAGTGCTACTTTTCCCGTATCACGCAGAATTTTTAAGAAATAGTCTCTAAATCAGAGGAAATCACAGGTCTTTACCAGATGCTTATGCTCCAACATCTTCAAAACATTAAAGATATCACTATACCAAGTCAGAAAATTCCAACACATTTCTACAAGAGTAAAAAGAAAATTATCTACATACACAAGCCTAAAATATCTATAAAGTAAATGAAAATCCCAAATTTCAGTTTTTAGTAGCAGAAAAGAATACTAACTTTTTCCCATCGAAAGAGGTGATCTGGAAACAGTATCGCCTGTCTTCACAGTCCACGGCCATCACTGAACAGTTGTCTATGTCCATGGCCAGGCCCCCTGCCACATCTCCACGGGCCTGACTCATTAAGTTTCCACCCTGTGTGAAGTAAAACTGTCTATCCCAGGTAGATGACACCAAGCCTGTTTTACTAAATGAAAAAAGCATATTTGCTACTTAGTAATGACACATCTAAAATTATGTATGCTAGACACAATATAAAGCATATCACAAAGAATCAGTTTGCATAAAGGAACCAAGTACCGAGAAAGTGTAAATGTCAGCTTTTGAATCTTTAAAATAAATTCACACACACCAACCCTTAATGCTCCATAAAATGTAATTCAGATTCCAAAAGAATTCTACTTTATTCTATCTATAGGTAAAAACTAAAATTCAACAGTATCATTTACATATAAGAGCAGTCATATTATGGTAGTTAAATTCAAATTTGCTTACGTTTTAGAAACAATTCTAAATTATTAATTTAAGTAGAATTTTACTTTTGAAAACGATTTAAATCTATTAAGTTGAATTTTACTTTTGAAAATTATTTGCATACTTTATCTGTTAGAAAGATCATAAAAATACTAATACCACTAAATAAAAAGGTTCAACCTTCAGTTAAAATACCAAAACAACATGGCAGACAGTATCAATGATACATTAAATTCACTTGATATTATCATAAACAATATACAATCTATGAAAATAACAAAAGTTTACTTACTTCCGAGCATTAAGGTATCCAGCCTTTCGGGTTAAGTTTCGACTGACAGGGAATTTTGATGGATCTGGGTCAGGCATATATAAGGGGTCACTGGCTATTTCCAAATCCTCTATTGTCTGTTGCATGGTCTCCACATCATTATCCATTTCCCTGCGAACACTAACACAGAGAGCAATTATTCACTACCAACCACTACAACGGACAAGGAGGTCCTTACCAACAAACATGTTCGTCTGTGTATTTGGTCTTGCCTTATATATATTTTGGGGGGCGTAGAGGAGTCACCCAAGCAGCAGTCAGGATGCCCAGGGACCAATTCGGTAATACTTGGCCTGTTTGTGTGGGCTGCTTGGACCTAGCTGTGCTAGGGCCTATGAGAACCAACTCCTTCCATTCACCAGTACCATAAGGGACACACCTTGCAGTGCTCAGAGGTCACAAGTAGTGCTTGGGGGGAGGGGTGCGGGAGGTCATGTGCTACCAGGGATCAGACTGAGGGCCTAGTATATGCAAGGCCTAGATTCCAGCACAAGTTTTCTCCCTGCACCATGTATATTTTCTTAAAGAGAACGGCACTGACATGGGTTGTTAAAGTAATTAACATGCCTTGAAATAGCTTTAGATTTTATTTGAAATCTAGGAATTTTGAGAATAATACCAAATTGAAAAATAAAACACCCAACTTCAGAAAAATTTTCAGACAACTCGATCCTGTCCTTTAAGGCAACAATCGCAGGGCCGGAGAGATAGTACAGTGGTTTACACAGCTGAACAGCTGAACCCAGATCTATCCCCAGCACCACATACTGTCTCCAGAGAACTGACAGGCTTGATCTCTGAGCACGGCCAGGAATGACCAGTAAACAAACAAAAACAGAACAACGATCACAAAAGGAATCCTCACGCGTCATGGATATGTAAATTGGTCCAGTTCTTGTGGAACACAGTATAGAAATTTCTCCAAAAATCGTAGAATAAATGTACTACATGATCCAATAATCTCAACTCTCAGTAATTTTGACATTCAGAATTTGGACATGCCCAGCCACAGATGAATAAAGATACAAGATGTGGAAAATATATACGAAAAGAATACTATTCACCTACTAAAAAAAAGACGAAGTCTTGGTCTTTGTAACAAAAGGATAGAACTAGAAGGGGTCAGGCTAAGTGAAATAAGTCAGCAAAAGAAAGAATAATACCAAACAATCTACTCACGTCAGATATATAGAAACAAAGCTAGAGAACAGACAAAGTCCAACAAAACAAACCCTTAGACTCTGACCACAGAACTGAAATTACTTACCAACGGTAAGGTGTGTGGGAAGAAGTGGGAGTGGGCTAAACGGTGGAGGTGGTCCAGGGGACTTTGGTAGGAGAGTGGCACTTTGGTGTGTTGGTGGGTGTAGTGTGCTAGCATTGTGGCCCTAAAATACTCAAACGTTTATAGTCTTGTTACCTCAATAAGCTAAATGAACAGTCAATTTTTTGCCCCCACTTTATACCTAAGTTTGAACGTTCTACTGCTCAGACTTCTAATCCTGACCAGAATGACTTTAAGATTTCATGGTTTGGAAATTAAGATTAATTTAGTAACCTCCACGTATCCCCCACAATTCAGATAACTGAGATAACCTATTTATATGTAATTACTATATGTTTGTTATACTCAGATATGTAACAGTCTAGAATCAATAAAATTCATCTGATTTTACAGTTTTATGAATTCAGTGCTCAGATTCTGTGGAAAAACTAAGAAGCACCCATGAGTCATGTAAGAAAAATTCTCATGGCAGGGAAAATAATTTCTCAAGAAATTAAATGCTAGATATATTTAGACTATAGCATTTAGCTGTTAACTTATCATTCACATAACTTCATTGTCAATTTTACTGAAGAAAATACTTACTTCTGCACACTTGTTCCAATATTAGTTAAAAATTCTTCCAGTTGTTCACTGAGATTTTCAGAACCCATCTTAAAGAAACTTATCTGGGGCAAGAGGGTATGGGAATGAGAGGTGAACAACACAAACATACACATACGCAAACAAAATGCTTAAAGTGAATAATCTAAACAATTTCCAGGTACACAAGTAAAAAAACAAAGGATTGAATTATAGACACAATTAAGTTATTTGCAATAACCAATAAATAGAACAATTATAATGACACTAGTATGGTTTCTCAAAATTTCTTACTATATATATTTTCAAAAGTGGGGTTTACCACAGGTAATTGAAACCACAAATAAGGGAGCTACTTTAGTACATATTTATATATTGATACAAGTACGTGAAGCAATTTTTAAAATTAGAAAGATAATTTTTAAAACATTTCAAGTAAGTCATATGACCATAGTTTCTTTACAAGGATAGATTTTATATCTGAATAATAGGCAACCATATTTAAAATACATCAAATTTCTTTTAATTTTTGATTTTTAGGGGACTGCCATCTCATCTTTTATTATTCAAATTTGGTTTTCTAGATTCTTACCTGATATGCCTCTTTGAAAACTTGGTGTTCTTTTTTATCATTTTTGTTTGATTTTTTGGGACACACCTGGTGGTGCTCTCCCAATTCTGTGATCAGGATTTGCTCCTGCGAGTGCCCAGACACCATGCAGTGCCCGTGACAGAGCAAGCCTCCGATAGCCAAGCATACATCCAGCCTGAGAGCTATCTCTGCAGCCCCCATATTGTCTTTATCTCAGGAAGCATGCAGGAACAGAAGGCAAACTTAAACTGATCATTCTCTTTCAGTTCTATTGTAAAGGAAGTGTGAGTGGAGGTTGGATTCACTCTAATTCTGAGATTCATTTATTCATCTAACCTTTTACACCCTATCCTCAATTGTGATGGACAATGTTTATATACAAGGTGAACGGTTTCATTTACTCTAAAATTTTAAAATCTTCATTTGCAAGAAAATACATTCTTCTTAATTTTCTTGAAGCAGTATTCCAAAGGTATTTTTAAAATTACTGCTTAATAGAGAAAAATATAGCAGGTAAGGAGCTTGCCTCAAATGCAGCTGACCCAGTTTCAAGTTCTAGCACCCCATATGGTCCCCAAAGCACTGCCAAAAGTGATCCCTGAGCAGAGGACCCTGACCACTGCTGGGTGTGGCCCAACCCCTCCACTCCCCAAATATACTGTTTCAACAGACAGGAATATTTTGACAACAGTTTACAATAGCTTATGTATTTAATATAAATACAAGCTTGATATGATCAAGTTTTTATTAGGACAGTTATATACAGAGTAAATATTCACCTGAGCTTGCATGTACCCAAGAAGAGGCTCTAACAAAGCTATTTTCTTTTTGTACTGAAGAGTATTTAATGCACAAAAATAATGCATCATGGTCTGGTGTTGCTTTTTTCTAGAAGTGTAGACATCTTCTATTACTTCATACTTCACCTGTGAATAAAAAGATTAGAAACATTATTAGGCATACTTATTATTGAATTATCTAGTGGCTACAGGGAAGACTGTACCTAAGGAAAAAGGTGCAAAAACAAGAAATTCTGCATAGCTTTCTTATTTTCTGATATTTTAAAAATCCTATGTTACCTAAAAGTTTTCTTCTTTTATTATCAACCATCTCAATCAATAACAAAAAAACCCTTATTAAAGCAAAATTCTGTATATACCAAAGCAATGCAGTAACTAAACTAAATATGGCAGAGGAACTCTATCCACCACAATTGGTATTAGTTTAGGCACTGGTCTTTTTTTTTTATAAATTTATTTTAGATCCTGTATCTCAAGAGCTCATTTTGAAACTTGTACAATTCTAACTATGTCCTTTTGTTAATCGGTCCCTGTTACTCTTCTTTTCCATAGTTACTGTCTAGAATTCCTTCAGTGAAGATGAACTCTGCACTATTCTAAACACACAGTTCCCAATCAGGAATCCAAATCCCAAACTGTCAAGACTGCCTAAGTGGCAGACTACACAGCAGCCTCTGTTCCCGCCAAGTTGCAGACTTCTAACATTTCTGCCTAACTAGGATGAGACCTCATCCATGCATAAATCACTAGAAGACTTGTCTCCACCTTAATTACAATCTCCAGCCCCCTGCACTATATTTCTTACTTTTCCAATAATTATCCCATCACCGAAGAATTCTAGGACTACTTTTTTATCCTTCTCCTACCTTAAGTCATATCAACACTACTTAAGAAGTACCTGCTAAAGGTTTTCTTTCCTCTCAACTACCAGTAACAACCTTATCTAAGACTCTCCAATGTCTCTGCACATTACTCTGATTTATTTTCACTGAATTTTCTCTAGTTTTATCCCCTCCATATTTCCATTAGTTTTCTGTAACACAACTACATATTGACACTTACCTACTTAAGAGTTCACTGGTGGTGGCTCACACCAATACAAACTTTAGTCATTTATATAGTAATGATCCCAGTTTCCTTCTTGACATTCCTGCTGTAATTGCCCAAATCTTATGCTCTGGACACACTGAAATTATTCTATCATCATAATAATCACTGCTAGAACTTAATGAAATTTTTCTCAAAGTCAGGTACTCAGTGAATCACCTCATTCCATCTATTTATTACAACTACTAAGCAGGCTTTTTTTTTTTTGGATAGAGAAATAAAGGCTTGAAATGATGTAACTAGTGTGTTACCTCAGGAAAATAAGTGGCAGAGCTGAAATTTTGTCTTCATGCTGTCTGACTCTTGAGTTCATGCTCTGAACTTTTATACTCTCCAGACACCACCATGTGCTTCAGCAAAGGCTGTTTTTCTCTCAGGAATGCCCTCACTCTAATTCCAAATCAGTGACATCTCTTCTTCAAAGCAAATGTCACCTCCTGAAAGTGTAATTTTTCCCATTCACAATCAAAGGTAACTGCTACTCTCTCTGCTCAGCGGGTGTTTCGTGAACTGTAGCACTGTGCTTATCTTAGTGTTAGTGCATGCATCTCTTTTGTTTTCGTACTTGAGCATCTATCTAGTCCAGTCAAATGCCTTCACATAGGAAACCTTTAATAAATAAGGATTATCCACTCTTCACAGGTAAGAACAGAGCCAACAGCCATTGTCTCCCACTTATTTCTCACTTAATGACAGATAAGAATTCAATAAGTGCTTGAAATTAAACCGGAGTTGTTTTTAAAAATACCTAGAACAAGAGACTGGAGAGATAGTACAACAAGTAGGATGCTTGTCTGGTACGCAGCCAGCCTGGGTTTGATCCCTGGCAACATATATGGTCCCCAAACCCCACTAGAAGTGATCCCTGAGAGTAGAGCCAGGAGTAAGCCCTGAGCATCACTAGGAGAGGCCTAAAAACAGTAACAAAACAAACAAACAAACTAGGACAGCCAGAGGCATTACAAAATGTACCAAAATTCATACCTACAGCCTTTAACACACTTGTCAAAGGAAAATATAAAAGTAATGTAAACCTCAAAATGTATTTTATCAACTGGAGAAATTAAAATGGGCTGGAATTCCCCTTTATTCTTACGGGAGGCCTGTGTTCAATCTCCAGTGCCACCTAGTCCTCTGAGCACTGTCAGGAATGACCCAGGTCACCACGCTGGGAGCAGCCTTTGAGCACCACTAGATATGGTCTCAGAATAAAGAGCAACAATAACGAAAAGTGTGTGTGTGTGTGTGTGTATATATATATATATAAATATGAGATATACTATCACTGTCCTCGCATTGCTCATCGATTTGCTCGAGCAGGCCCAGTAATGTCTCCATTGTGACAATTGTTACTGTGTTTGGCATATCGAATACGTCACGGGGAGCTTGCCAGGCTCTGCCGTGCGGGTGAGATACTCTCGGTAGCTTGCCGGGCTCTCCGAGAGGGGCGGAGGAATCGAACTCGGGTCGGCCATGTTGGCTGCTTGCAAGGCAAACGCCCTCCTGCTGCGTTATTGCTCCAGCCCATATATGACATACATATGTATATATATCACATATATATAGTCTATCAATATACATATCTATTTTCTTAGTTTGGGGGTCACACTCAGGAGTGTTCAAGGACTACTGCTGGCTCTGGCTCTGAGATCACTCCTGGAGGTGCTGAGAGGACACCAGATAAGCTGCCAGGGATCAAATGAGAATAGACTGACAGCATGCAAGGAAAATGACTTAGTCCCTGAATTGCCTCTTTGCCTATAATATCAATATTTACACCACCAAATAACTGAACTAAAATTAGAAATGAAAAGTAGGACTGGAGAGATAGCTCAAAGGGATGGAGCATATGGGAGCCCTGTATTTGATTCCCAGCACTGCATGGCCCCCTGACAACCAAGTACCTCCAGATGTGTGCACCCTGGCCCCTCCAACAAAGAAGAGATCTTTGTATAAACTTTGTGTGACAGCAGAAATAATCCCTTTATTGTGTCAGAATCACTACTGCACACTAAATCCTATCCTATATGGGATTCTCACAAGTTGCCACCATGTCCCAATCATCAGCTAGAGCTGAGCTGCAGATACCAACTCCAAGGCACAGACATCACCTCCCTCACCAACATCAGGCTGAGGCCAACTCAGCAAATCATGCATTAGGTGCTGAGAGAATCATAAGGAACATTGTTAATATTCTGCCCTTTGATCTTGAATGTATTTCTCCTAAGATACAGTGTAATTTTTAAAAACTTCAATCTTCGAAAAAGAATCAGGAAAAAAAATCTATTATATTTGGCTCTTAATAACAGAGGAAGAAATCCTTAAAACAAAATTTTATTGTTTCATATATGCAACAATTCAATTTTTAAACTTCTAATATCTCAGATGACGCTTCCGAGTATGTTTATGCTCAAGTAAGTACAAAACACATACAACCTTATCAAAACAAAGAGTAAAAGAGGCAAGTTATATGGGGAACATCAGCATACATTTGTATGCAAAGTTATGAAGTCTCTGTCAGTAGAAAATATATATATATATTTTGAAGGGAGTCGGGATGGGCCACACCCAGTAATGCTCAAGTGGGCCCAGTGCTCAGAGATCACTCCTGAGGGTACCAGAGGGACTATGCAGTGCTAGGATCAAGCTCCTCTCCCGCATGCAAAGCATGCACTCAGCCTTTGTTCCATCTCTCTGAAAATACTTTGTTTAAAGAGATACTTACTAATTTTAAGAGCAATATAGCAAATATACAAAGTAACTGCTGGCAACTCTTTTTTTAAAACAAAAAACTAACCACCTAATGAAACAGCTGCTAACTGTGACAACTGAAGAAGTATGCATCCCACCTTGTCATTTTCTCTTTTTTTTGATAATCGGCTATATCTGTTAATTGCAGCATCATGATCTAGAAAACAGAAGTGACTATTAACAAAAATTCAATGACATGCTTTAAAACTTATGCTTTAACTAACTTCATATTTGCATCTTTCAACAAATGTACAGTGTAAATTAAATACACAGATTCAAATAATGTTTACTTAAACTTTTATGTTTATTTAATGTTTACTTAAAATTTTAATTAAGATCACGTTTTCCAATTTTTAAAAGACTTATAAAGGCCTGGGGCTGGAGCAACAGCACAGCGGGTAGGGCATTTGCCTTGCACACGGCCGATCCGGGTTCGATTCCCAGCATCCCATATGGTCCCGAGCACCGCCAGGCGTAATTCCTGAGTGCAGAGCCAGGAGTAACCCCTGGGCATCGCTGGGTGTGACCAAAAAAGAAAAAAAAAACTTATAAAGGCCAAATCCAGCAATGCCTAGGGCCCCAGGTCACTTTGCTACTCAGGCCTAACTACACTCAGGGGCTACCAGCTCTCAGCCGTGTGACACCAGGTCCAACTCTGGACCTTATTCCACATATACTAGGGATGTAGACTACCATTTGAGTTATCTCCCAGGTCGCACTAATTTTTTTTTTCCCCAGTACTAGAATCAAACCCAGATCCTAACGCATACAAAACATGGACTCTATCACGGAGCCACTTCACTGCCCCAATTTTTAAAATCATTACAAGAATCTAGTCACCAAGTTATATTCATAAAGAAATGTATCCCTGTAAAAAATAAGTGAATAAAGTATTCAGTGCTTACCATTACTAGCAATCTGAAACACTTCCTTTAATGTCAATATTTCTGGAAAAGTTCAAGAATAATTTCAATTCAGCATATTCATAGAAAACCTTCACTTTTTGTTTAGAAAACAACAACTGCCATTTAAGTTACAAAATTATGAGTATTTTATGCTTCAATATTCAAAGTGAAAAAGCTATTCTATGTGTCAGGTGGTCTATAAAATAATTACCATAATTAGCAAGCTTCAGAAAAAATTTTAGTACAAAATAGTAAGAGAACACAAAACAAATCCTAAAACTAACTGAAATTCTAAGATGTGAAAATATGCTTAGTATTAGAATCAGTTAAAATTTTATTTTGACACTGACTCAAGTTCAAAGGCTGAATGAAAAGAAAATATTAAGATTATGACATTCAGCCCATTAAGATCATGTTTCTTAACCTTGGAAATCAACACCACAAATATTAAATTCATCCCTAAAATTCATTTGTCCCTATTCCATATTTAATTTAACCACTTTACCATCCACTGACAAATTAGTTCAATGTTTTTGTTCTATCTATATCTGTTATCTGAGATTGTAGCACTGTCGTCCCGTTGTTCATCAATTTGCTCGAGCAGGCACCAATAACGTCTCCCTTTTGAGACTTGTTACTGTTTCTGGCATATCAAATACGCCACGGGGAGCTTGCCAACTCTTCTGTGTGGGTGGGATGCTCTTGGTAGCTTGCCAGTCCCTCAGAGCTTGTAAATTAAGAGAAAGCACAGCCAGTTCTATAAAACTCTGACTTTATCACCTCATCGTTAATGAGAAAAGAAAAAATACTAAGTTACCAGACTTGCCACATACCTCTATGCCACTCAGACCACATACCCTAAATTCCAGTGCCACTGTTCCCATTTAAGCCTTAGTCCTACCTATCCCATTGGACTCTGACAACTTCCAAATCTCTCTGACCCAGACATCAAATTCACTCTATTCCATCTTGTCAGAATAAAGGAACTATGTCTCTCTCCTTACAGACCACCACTGACCTTCTTTTCTCATTACTCAAATCCAACCTCTTTAGCATAATCTAGTCCTAGTTCGTCTTTTACTAGATTTGCCTTGTGTTGTGCTCCAAAACACATTGAATTTCTCATCATTCTCAAAATAAGTGTTGTTCTCTATAAACATAATTTCATACATTCTAGTCTCTGTAACAGGACATGCAAACTCTTCTTCACTGTTCAATATTCAGGTCACATTTTGATACCCTTGTAAGCTCCCGCAACACCTGCTCATTTCCTAGTTAAAAAAGAATATCAATTATTCGTCTATTCATGTATTTAACTAGGGTTTACTGCAGCAGCATGTTATTTACTAGAATTCTTCAGCATGTAGTTTAACATTTAGTATGAGTTGCTATAAACATTAGTGACTAGTAGAAGTAAAAATTAGCACATGTTATAATAAGAAAAGGTCAAGGCATAGAATAATACACATTTTACAAGCATTGATTAAAGTAAATATGGGTTGGACAGCAGATTAAAGTAAATATGGGTTGGCTTCAATACCTTTTAGGTCTCTTTCTTTAAACTGGGTAATAGGGAACATCATGGCATCAGCAAGCTGTGTTGAAAGTACGGCATGACAAGAGCTAAGCTAAAAAAACAAAACAAAACAAAGAACAGATATTTAACCAGGGGTCTATAAATGAAACAAAATTCAGCAAAAGGAGGAAGGTAGGTGGAGAGTGACTACATTTGATCACTAAAAATTATACTATTTTATACACTATATTATTACACTATATTATAAAAAATTATAAACTGATATACAGAATTATAGTAAATTATATAAAAATAAATTACACTATATTATACAAAATTTTTTCACTTAAAACTCTAAAAAGAAGACAGGCAATAGTCACTTATAATACCAGAAGCATAAACAACAAGGAAATTATAAACTGAATTTCATCAAAATTCAAAACTTTTGTACATCAAAAGACACTATCAAAGAGGCTAGGGCAACAAGCACTGCCAAGACCAAGAGTAACCCGAGCATCTCTAAGTATGACCCAAAAAAGCCAAAAAAAAAAGGGCTGAGGTGATAGCATAGAGGTCAGGAGCACATGTTTTGCAAGCTTAAGAACTTATGCTGGATCCCAAGTACTACGTGTCTACAAAGTACTGCCAAGTGTAGTCCTGGAGTCCCCAAGTACTGCTAGATGTGTCCCTAGTGGCCCCCAGGATTGATGGGGTAGTCCTGGTGGTTCCCAGCACTGCCGGGCTAAAGGAGCTTGGGTCACAGCACTGAATCATCAGGCTTCCTAGGTCAAGTGTCACTGGAAGTAGCACGTAAGCAAATGCATGCACATGCACACATGTGCACAACCCACCACTTTAAAAAATCCCTTTCTTAAAAGAAAAAAAAGGCATTGTCAAGAAAGTGAAGGGCTGGAGCAATAGCACAGCAGTAGGGCATTTGCCTTGTGTGCAGCCAGCCCGGCAGAGCCGGGTTCGATTCCTCCGCCCCTCTCGGAGAGCCCGGCAAGCTACCGAGAGTATCTCGCCCGCACGGCAGAGCCTGGCAAGCTCCCCGTGACGTATTCGATATGCCAAACACAGTAACAACAAGTCTCAAAATGGAGACGTTACTGGGCAGCTCAAGCAAATCGATGAACAACAGGAGAACAGTGCAGTTCAGTGCACGTTACCCCCAACAACAACAACAACAACAACAACAACAAAAGTGGGGAAAAAAACCCATATAATGATAACTATTTGCTAGTCACATATCTGATAAGGACATTGCATAGATAATAAAGAATTTTTATAATAAGAAACATAGCCTAACTTTAAAATAGGAAAGTTCTAATTAGAAGCTTCAGAGATATATGAATGGCCAACAAACACAGCAAATATGCCCACAATTCATTAACCATCAGGAAAATGCAAATCAAAACTACAAAGAGGTTCAGGGATGTGGCTCATGCCTTGCACGTATGGATGTGGTTCATGGCTCCCATAGACAGCTGTAACAAATAAACTCATTAGTGAGGATTTGGGAAACTTGGGACACTTCTATATTTCTGTATCACTTGCAGAATATAAACTTGTATAAAAAACATGGAAATAGTTTGGCGGTTCCTCAAAAAGTTAAACTTAAAATTACAGAAGGTCTAGTAATCACAATTCTATATACCTAGAACTGACAAATGGTGTTTAAAAAAATCAAAACCAAATATCTATACATATACATATATGCATTTTCCTCAGTGTTGTTCAGAGCCCACTCCTGGCTCTTTGTTCAGAAATTACTCTTGGGAGGGCTTAGGGGACCATATGCAGTGTTGGGGACCAAACTAGGGTAAGTTGCGTGCAAGACAAGCACCTTATCTACTGTCCTATCTCTCCAGCTTCCAGAAAAAATCTTGTGTATTATCAAATGAATGCTCACAGCAGCAGTATTCACAATAGCAAAAACTGGAAACAGCTATATTGTAAATCAACTGATAATAGGTAAAATGCACTTTAGTCATATAATGTAATTTTATTTCACAAAGAAAAAAAAGAACTGAAGAATGTCGCATGTGCTACAACATGAAGCCTGATAGTAATGACAGAAGATATACAAAATTCATGTATTATTTGAGTCCAATGATATGAACTATCCAAAACAAGTAAATCCACAGAGACAGAAAGCAGATTAGAATTTGTCAGGGGATGAGGGAAAGGGGAGTAGAGGATGACTACTTAATGGCACAGAATTTCCTTTGAGGTGATGATGATGACGATGATGATGAAAATACTCTGGAATATTAATGATGATGGTTGAAATGTGTAAGTAATGAACTAAATGTCACTAGTAGTAAATGTTATGATATCTATTTTGTCAGTTAAAAAATTTGCTGGGGCTAGAGCAATAGTACAGAAGGCAGGGCTCTTGTTTTATATGCAGCAGACCCAGAGTCCGTCCCCACCACCTCTTACCCTGAGCCTACAGGAGTGATCCCTGAGTGCACCGGCAGGAGTAAGCCTTGCGCACTACCAGGTTTAGCCCCAAAACAAAAAAATCTACTGGCTACAAATTTTTTGTGTGCATGTTGGAAATCAAATCCAGAGCTCTCACAAGTGAATCAAGTCCAAGTGCTCACCACTGTTACATCCTTTAATTCCTTGTATTTTTTATATTGGTCTCCTGTGAAAATATTTTGCTATAATGAGTCGATATATTTTAAAAATTATTTTCCCAGTCTTAAAAAATCAGATCTGCTGTTCCATGGCAAAAGCAGAATTTTTGTTATTTTAAAAATAATGAAGAAACAGTGATGAAATCTCCAAACATCTCTTACCACCTTTTCTACCACCAATGTCCCCAGTACCCACCCCACCCCTCATCCCAACCCTTTCCCTGCTTCCATGGCAGACAATTTCCCCCATACTCTCTACTTCTGGGCATTAAGGTTTGCAATATAGATACTGAGAGGCCATCACATTTGGTCCTTTATCTCCTTTCAGCACACATCTCCCATCCCAAATGATCCCTCCAACCATCATTGACATTGATCCCTTCTCTATCCCAGCTGCCTTCTCCCCCAGCTCACAAGGCAGGCTTCCTACTGTGGAGCAATATTCCTAGCCCTTGTCTCTACTGTCCTTAGGTGTCCGTCTCATATTATGTTATTTTATATTCCACAGATGAGTGCAGTCATTCTATGTCTGTCCCTCTCTTCATTTCACTTAGCATGAAACTCTCCATGACCATGCATTTATAACAGATAATTTTTTCTTTGCAACATATCATAACACAATGAAACACTGAATTACATGGACTGAGTGTATAGAAAGCACATGCTTATTCCCTGAAAGCAATTAATTTTAAATAGACTAAGAAAGTACTGTTTTTATAAGTCACCCAGATGTAAAAACAGAGTTAATTTTTAAACATAATCTTTATAATAGAACTTCATATAATCATAAAAAATATCCCAAAAAAGCCAGACAAACTCATTAACTTAATTAAAAGACATTTATTAAGACAAAATAAGCACTTACTTCATCTATAACTTTTGAAAACTGTTGCAAAGTAGAGCTCATAACTTCATCATCACCCCCTAGTGGAAAACGCTGTTAAGTGAAAAACAGAGATGAGATATAAAGGTTCAATATTTCAATCAGTATGAGTGGGATCAAATTTTACATTTTTAAATAACTTGGGAAAATTTCTAAATTCTGTATGAGCTATAAAAATGCCATTTAACTCAAACAGTGTAATCCATACATTTAGTAAAAAGTAATTTAAATGTTTGCTAAGTAAACATTTAATATGGTATGTATAAGAACACAATGCATTAGAAATTCAGATTCATTGTTTAGCTCCACTTCTCCAATAAATAGCCTGTAATTTCAAGATAGCCTGTTTCTTTATTTTCAAAATTAAAAAAAGTGGTAATTTAGATGACCCTTTATGTCTAAAATTAAATCATTAAAACTAGATGTTGGTCACAGTGGAATTTCAATACCATATCAAAATGTAATCCTATCAACGGCCAAGACCCAGAGACTATAAAACCCAGCTCCCAGAAGCATGCTGCTGCATTTGTGGCGGCGCAACATCTTATTATCTCATTCTTACTTTGGACAACTTGGCAGGCTACCGAATATAACCTGCCCACATGGCAGAGTCTGGCAAACTGCCCGTGGTGTACCCAATATGCCAAATACCAGTAACAATGATGGGTCTCATTCTTCTAACCCTGAAAGAGCCTTGAATATGGCACTTTATAATCTCAGGGCTACAACGAAGGAGACGTTACTGGTGCCTGCTAGAGGCAATCAACGAACAACAGGATGATCAGATCGTGATATCAAAATGACCGTCTGTGATTTCAAAAACAAACTTCAGATCCTTGAGAAATCCCATTTTTAAACAGAAACTGAATGATAATGCATCATTGCATGTTTTAAATTATGCTATTAAAACATTTCATATACAGTACCTGTTTTTCATATTCTTTTAAAAGCTTTGAAGTCAGGTGTGTTGCTGCACTTAATTCATTCTATGGGAAAAGATTAGTACTCAAATTAATACAGTGTCACTGATTAAGGAAAAAGTCTGAGTTGGAGATACCTAGGCAATTATCATTTATAATTTAACATGTACTGTACAACATGTACTCTAAACTAAACCAATCACTAAATCACTAGGAAGGGCACTACTACTAAAGCACCAAAGCACCTTAAAGGAAAACTCTATCAAGGAATTCAACAATATTCCAGCAATATGCTGCCTTTTTTCAGCTAATAAACACTAAGCATCAAATATTATTAAAGCTTTAAAGCTGAAAGTTAACTGTGCATAACCTTAGAAAAATCTTAAGAGACTCTAGGTCGTTGAATCATTATTCCTCTTGGGAATGAAGAGAGAGGACAGTGAGTAAGGTGCTAGCTTCGAATGCAACTGGCTAGGGATGAACCCAGTACGGCATATGGCCTTCCAAGCCCTGCTGCCAAGCAGGAGTGATCCCTGAATACATAGCCCTGAGTAGCCCTAAGCACTGCTAGTTATGACCCCAAAACAAAACCAAAAAAAATTCATCTTTCAAGATGCTAGAAAGCATTTGAAAATATACAACCATGTGCTGGAGAGACAGTACAGCAGGTTGCCTTCTACACAGCCAGTCCAAGTTCAATCCGCAGCACCACACACATATGGCCCCGAGAGATGAAATTTTATTATGTACTTATTTATTTGCATGTTAATGAAATAATACACACACAACCAAAATGTCAATAATAGTAATCCAGTTATAACAAAATCATCACTTGAAGAAAATAACTTTTTGTTTAAAGGATATTTTTTTTTTTTTTGCTTTTTGCTTTTTGGGTCACACCGGGCGATGCACAGGGGTTACTCCTGGCCCTGCACTCAGGAATTATGCCTGGTGGTGCTCAGGGGACCATATAGGATGCTGGGAATTGAACCTGGGTCGCATGCAAGGCAAACGCATGCAAGGCAAACGCCCTACCCGCTGTTCTATCTCTCCAGCCCGTTTAAAGGTTTTTACGGTGACAAATATAGTAAAAAAAATAATACTGCAGAGCCAGAGTGATAATACAGCAGGGAGGGCGTTTGCCTTGCATACATTCGATTCTCAGCATCCCAAAAAAGGTCTTCCCAGCACCGCCAGGAATAATTCCTGAGTGCAGAACCAGGAGAAACCCGAGCATCGCCAGTGTGACCCACCACAGCCTCCAAAAAAATGCAAAAAAAATAAAAATAACACTGCACTTCCAAAGGAAGAACATAACAGAATTCAGTTTACTATTAAATAGACTTATGATTATATCAAAAGTCTGTATGGTCAGAATTAAATCTTAAGAGACTTATCACAAGGAAAAACCTATCACAGCAACTTTTGAAATGAGAGCAGAAAGGAGGAAAAGAAGAAATGAAAGTTGAACACTTAATTAATTCCAAAGGAAGAACATAATAGAATTCAGTTTACTATTAAATAGACTTATGATTATATCACGGTCCTCCTGTTGTTCATCGATTTGCTCGAGTGGGCCCAGTAACATCTCCATCGTGAGACTAGTTGTTACTGTGCGTGGCATATTGAATACATCACGGGTAGCTTGCCAGGCTCTGCTGTGCGGGCGAGATACTTTCAGTAGCTTGCCGGCTCTCCAAGAGGGGCGAAGGAATTGAACTCGGGTCAGTCATGTTGGCTGCGTGCAAGGCAAACGCCCTACCGCTGTGCTATCGCTCCAGCCCAGACTTATGATTAAATTACATAAATTAGGTATATATAAAAAAAGCCACCAAAACAACTAGTCATATGTTTCTTAAATTCTTTTCCCTGTTCCCCAAGATACATCTAATTTTTAATATTTTCTCTAACGCTATAAAAGTAAATTACTTTCAAATCATATACTCCAAAAAAGTAGTCAAAAAAAAGCATAATTAGGGAAACTTCTGGTGACAATATGGATTTTTTACTCAAATTGTAGGTAAAGACCACTATCAATGAATTTCAGTAAGAAGGCCCTGTGTCTGGGAAGTAGGGACAGATGATTAATTCTTTAATTACTTTTGTAATATTTACAAACTATACACTAGTAATTTAAATGAGTACTGCAATACAGAATACTTAATGGCAAATATGTATTACCATGAGCCCAGAACAAGGCAAATAACCACTAAGACAGCCACAATCTCTGTCCTCATTGTTTAAAATTCATTTTTAAAAACAGTCAGTCTCTAGCTTTTTACCTGTGCATCATAAATCCGATGCATAGCTTGATACAACTGGTTCATATAGTTGGAAATAGCTGTAGCATCTTCTTCAAATACACCCAGTAAAGATCTTGTCTGTATAAAATAAAAACGAAAAGTTTATTACTTCATAAATCATGAAGAAAACGTTTTCCCAGGGCCAGGGAGATAGTACAGAAGGTAGGGCTCTTGCATTGCATGAGGCCAACCTGAATTTGATTCCTGGCACCCCATGTGGTCCCCTGGTCTCCCCTAGGAGTGATTCCTGAGCACAAAGCCAGGAGTAAGCCAGGAGTACTGCTGGATGTGGCCCCGACCCCAAAAAGAAAAGAAAAGCACTTTTTCTAAAGAAAAAAAAAACACAGGAAATTTGAAATTTAGTAAATTTAAATTTTAATCTGTTTTTCTCACAGAAAGTAATGCCAAGATATTGGGGTATTTTAGTCTTAAATTTTGCTTTTAAAGATTAATTCTCTGGCCAAGGGTGTGGCTTGGTATGAGATGGGTTTGATAACTGGCACCATCAAAAAATAAAAAAGGGTTTTTCAATCACTTTACACAAATTTTACAAGGTACAATAGAGATATACTTATGGGAATTACTGTATGTAAGGAAACTATGAATGAAAAAAATCAGAAACATTCAAGACTAAATTAGCAGTATTTCATGTATGAATATTTTAAATATGCTACTTCAGGAAAACTTAGAATAACGATTTGCTCTGTGATCTCTTCTAGTAGTGCCAAGCCCTTCCAGATACCAATCCAAATTAACAGCAGCGCCTCCCCAGTGAAAACAAGAAAAGACTAGTTTTTCCTGAATGCATACTTAAGGTTAATTTTTCTTCTTTAGATATTCCATATTGCTAAGGTTTTTTTTTTTCAATAAAAAGCAAGTAAAAGTTATCATTTTAAGGGAGAAATTGTCAACAAAAAAGGTCAGGAATAAGGAAAATAGTGTATCAAGACAAAATATGCTATTTCTTATTCCAAAGTCAGAGAAGGGATTAAAATATTCTCTGGGGAGATGATTTAATGGGCTAAAGTGCATGTTTTGCATGCAGAAAGCACAGGTTCAATCCCTGCAACGGCCAGACTGGCACCCCACCACCAAATGCCAATGGTTCAGTAAACTGCAAGTTAAAATCCTAAAATGACTTTTTATTCCAAATAGATTATTTGTATAATAGAAATTTGTTTTCAGATCAATTTTTTTTACCAGGGCATCAACAAAAGATCACAAACAGTATGCAAGCTCATAAAGATTCCATCTACTCAAGTTTCATTGACCAGAGCGAATCATATGGCTACACAAAATTTCAAGGTTAAAGGGACTGCAAGTACCATATGACCAGAAGAAGGAAATACTTAATTTACAACACTACCTATTACAATGGGCTAGAGCGATAGCACAGCGGTAGGGCGTTTGCCTTGCATGCAGCCAGCCCAGCCGAGCGGAGTTCGATTCCTCCGCCCCTCTTGGAGAGCCTGGCAAGCTACTGCGCGTATCTTGCCCGCACGGCAAAGCCTAGCAAGCTACCCGTGACATATTCAATACGCCAAACACAGTAACAACAAGTCTCATGATGGAGACGTTACTGGGCCCGCTCGAGCAAAATCGATGAGCAATGGGAGGACAGTGACAGTGACCGATTACAATGCCTCCTCCAGCTTCTGACCAACCATGAATCCCGAGGCACACATACCAATCTCGGAACCCAGGGGCTCCTGGAGGTAATCCCTCTAGGTTTATTACTAAAATATCAGAAATCCAAAATCACGTGGCCGCTATTGTGGCCACACGACATCATATGCTCTTCATAATCAGCAAAGGTAAAGGTAAGGCTTGTAAGGCGAACGCCCTACCCGCAAGCGGCCAACATGGCCGACCCGAGTTCGATTCCTCCGCCCCTCTCGGAGAGCCCAGCAAGTTACCGAGTATCTCGCCTGCACGGCAGAGCCTGGCAAGCTCCCCGTGACGTATTCGATATGCCAAACACAGTAACAACAAAGTCTCCAATGGAGACGTTACTGGGCCCGTTCGAGCAAATCGACGATCAACGGGAGGGCCTTTACCTTTATATGCAATAACCAGCAATAAAAAACAAATTTTCTAATGATGTCTTTGTGGCAGGTCTGAATGTTGGGGAAAATTCCAAATAACAATGTTGGGTCTTCTGTCGTAAAATTGAATGTGATCAATGTAGTGAGAGAGAGAGTAAAGTGGAAATCTGCCACATAGGCGAGGGGTGGGTGGGAGGGGGGATATATTAGGGGTTCTTGGTGGTGGAAAATGTGCACTGGTGAAGGGACGGTCTTTGATCATTGTATGACCAACCGAAACTTGAACTGAAAGGCTTTGTGACTGTTCTCACGGTGATTCAATAAATAAATTAATTAAAAAAAGTGGAATCTCTTGTTTTTTTGTTAATTATAAATTTCTAATGCTTTATATATTTTATGATGTTCTTATATAATGCTTTAGTATAGTTCTAATTTTTAATTTAAAATGTTTATTTTAAAAAATTAACTTACTTCTTAGCTATTTTCACAGAAAGTAAAATCAGAATTTTTTTTAATTAAGTCACTGTCCGCTGACATTCTCATTCCTCTACTTCCCCATGCTGCAGAGATTTAAATTGACAAAATCGTTCATCTCTAATGCTCCACTCCCAATCCCTAAGTGCTATTTTAAGAGTTGAAAAGAAAGCATCAAAAAATCTTACTTGGAGCCAGGATAAAGCTGCTTCATAAATTTGAGACCCTAGGTTCAATTCCAGGCACTTCCCCGTTGCCATAAAAGATTCTTTTTTTTGGGAGCTGGAGAGACTGTATAGCAGGCAGGACCCTTGCCTTGCATATGGACAATTTGGGTTGAATCCCCGGCATCACATAAGATCCTCTACACCCCACCAGGAATGAGTGCAGAACCAGGAGCACTGCTGGGTGTGCTCCGCACCCCCCCAACCAAAAAAAAATTTTTAATTTGGCTAATGAAAGTGTTTCAATGTCATTGAAGGGTTTTTCCCCCCTACAAATGATCAATGTAATTCAAGGAATTTCAATTTTATGGCGGGGAGGGGGAGGGGGAACCATAGTACAATTAAACCTGAAAACTTTTTTAGCCCCAACTAGGGAACACAGGTTCCCTAGTTCAAGCAGATATTATCAAAACTGTATAATCATAAGTTGACACTTTTACATCATACTTGAATGTAGTTTAATAAACACAAATTATAATGCAGAGATCAATGTGTTAACCAGGCTACAGACTACACAAATATAATCAATATTATACCATTTCATTAGTAGGGTGTGGCAGGGCCACATTCGACTGTGTTCTTAGAAGTTACTCCTAGCTCTGCACTCAGGAATCACTCCTGGCAGAGCTCAGGGGACCATATGGGGTGCCAGAGACCGAACCCACGTCAGTCACATGCAAGACAAATTTCCAGCCTGCTTTACTATCACTCTAGTCCCCCCTCCCCCCATTCGGTAACTAGATGATAGTGAGTTGTACCATTCTTATTTACTGCCTTTAACAACGGAGACGTTACTGGGCCCGCTGGAGCAAATGGATAAACAACAGGAGGACAGTGCTAAAGTGCTACCTTTAGCAAAACACTGATTTAAGGTTTTCTGTCTTAAAAATTTTTACTTTATATTATGCAAACAGATTTCAATATTTTTTGTTAAAATTGTATTAACACTTGTCTAAGTTACATAAAGTTAGTTTATATTACGTAAGCTTAACACTTTGACATGTGTATTTACCACAGTGCTCCCACCGACCAAAGTTTCGGTGCCATTAGCACCTATCAAACTGACCCTTTCTACAGTTTCTCCCAATTACCTTCTCTCAGGTAAGCACCATAATCTTCTGCGTTGTTTTGTTGTATGTTATGAGTTTGCCTCCTTGATAATACACATGTGAATGAAACCATCTAATAATTCTGATTTATTTTTTCAGCATTATAATCTCACATTCCAGGGCCAGAGCTACAGTAGAGCATTTGTGTAGCACACAGCCAATAAGGGTTCAATCCTCAGCACCACATAAGGTCTCCCGAATTCTGCTAGGAATGATCCTTGAGCGCAGAGCCAAGAGTGCTGAGCACTGCTGGATGGGGCCCGCAAAGCAAACAGTAATAGTAATTATCACCATCATCATCATCATCATCATCACTATTTCAAGTTCCATTCTTATTGAACAGCCAAGATTTCCTTATTTTAGGGGAGGAGAGGTTTGGGGGTCATTCCAGGTGTGTTCTGAGGAACCATGCAGTACAAAGAACTGAAACGAGACTCCCCACATACAAAGCATGCAATCAGTCCTTTATGCTCTCTCTCCAATCCCAAGAGTTCATCTATTAAAATAGCTGGTTAAAGGCTCAACCTGTAACAACCTGTTAGTAATCTCTTATACAAGGGCTTAATGGCTCCAGGGTAAGATACAACAATCTTCACACACTTTCCTCTAAGGAAATTTTTGGGGATCATTTTTAGTGGAGTACTCATAACAAACAATACAAAATAAATTATTTAGGACCTGCTTTGAGGGAAAGCTCGGGTGGTGGTGGGGAAATTCAAAATAACAGTGGTGCGAAGGTACAGTGGTGGTGGCATTGGTGTTGGAATGTAATAAATTATTGTGAACAACTTTATAAAAATAAAATTAAAACTTGTTTGAACACAAAGATTAAATTAAAAAGTAAAACAGCTGGTTTTACTAGTTTTTTTTCATATTTTAAAATAGCTGATTTTACTAGGTCTTACTTAGTTGCTTTTACTAGGATGTTAAGGTTTTATTGTTGACTCTCGGTGACTCTGCTGCCCGTATGCCTGGCCCAGGTCCTATTTTGTGGGTTGGTTTTAATTATAAGAATTTGTCTCTACAAATGAGCTCTAAGATAGGCTTACTGTCCATCTCAGATTTAATTTTTAATAGAGCTCATACAAACCTCAAAAAGATAAGCAGCACAGGGACTGTGAGATGGCTCCGTGGCCAATGTACCTGCCTTGCAAGCATGAGGTCCCAAGTTCTGTCCCTGACTCTGCCTTTATGCACCAAGCACAATGGTGGCTGCTCTGCTGTCT